TTCTGTCTTCATTATTTTACACGTATAATCTTTTTCCTGTATACGCTTTTTTTGATCACTGTTTGTGGTCTACAGAAATAGATACGTATATATTTTGTTGTAAAACTGCTAGTGAAATAATTTTCGAATATCATGTTGGCAATAATGTAGAATGTACAATATAATAATTTCCTTTTCTTTTATACCATCTGGGCATACTGTTATTATATACCTATTTAAATTGTGGGAAATTTGGTGACTTCCTTCTCTACGTATAATATGAGATAATTTGGTTATTACAAATTTTCTTCATTTTAAGATTCTAGAAAAGTGAGATATACTCTCAGACTTAGAATACATTTAAGAAATATCATTATATATAACTGTTAAAAGGAATTTTGTGAGGCATTATTATCTTAATTGATTTCGGTTAGTACAGTGGAAATCCTGACACAGTCTTTCTACGCTATAACTGTGCACACTCTCAATGTTTCACACCCCTTTACTGCACACAACGCCAACCACAGGCACGTCAAACAACATCAGAAACCCTTTACTTATAACTTAAGTAACATAAAGTTCTCCCTGTTTCATTTCTGACAAGTCATAGCTACTTGGGAACGACTACTTCATAAGTAACTTTATTAGGCAGATAATGCAAGTACGTATGGAGCTGAGCCCCTCTTGAGGAGAAGCCAAATCTGCAGCTACTCAAGAACTTCCCAGCATTTTATGGAAAAAAGAAGGTTCATTACCGTGTTCACAAGAGCCCTTCACTGATCCCTATCCTGAACAAGATCAATGCAGTCCATACCATCCCATCCTATGACTTATGGATATGATTAATGAAAATCAATTTTTTTATATAAAACGAAATAATAATATATATTTAACTGTACTCTCACCTTCTCTTCGTTGTGAAGCCACTTTTTATAATACTCCTCAACTACCTTCTTGTTTCTACTTAATTATGATCTCTCTTGTACTAAAATTTATCTCAGGGTTAATTGTTTTGTGGAGAGGTGAGGTGGTTGATTCGGTAGAGCTGAATTCTAATATCTCAGAGCCTTATACAGGCCACAACTTAAAGAAGCAAGAAATTAAACACAACTACAAAGCACTTATCAAGTTGAGATGTATTATTATTAAAAATGCTTGTTTAGTTACTGCTTAACACCGCACAACTGACTAATATCAGTATATTTTACTTCATGTTTCTACTAGATTCACACCACTTTTTAACCGAGACCCGACATGTAACTTTTAAAGCTGCTTTCCTCAAGGGCCGGAGTGTGAGACTTTACTTCTGATTCCTACGGTTCCCGGTACGTGACTTTCACGTCTGGTTCTTACGGTTCCCGGTACGTGAATATCAAGTCTGGTTCTTACGAGTCCCGGTACGTGACTCTCACGTCTGGTTCTCACGAGTCCCTGTACGTGACTTTCACGTCTGGTTCTTACGAGTCCCGGTATGTGACTTTAACCTCTGGTTCTTACGAGTCCCGGTACGTGACTTTCACGTCTGGTTGTTTCGCGTCCCGGTACGTGACTTTCACGTCTGGTTCTTACGAGTCCCGGTACGTGACTTTCACGTCTGGTTCTTACGAGTCCTGGTACGTGATTTTCACGTCTGGTTCTTACGAGTCCCGGTGTGTGACTGGCTTAGACAACTGATGTCACTCGAACAATCAAGTCTTTGTTTCCACCAGGGTCTATACTCTGTCACACCCTTAAATTTTTTGTGATTGGTCAATTTAAAATATATCTATTCTCCCAATACTTTTACTCATTACAACGGATTTTGGCATGAATTCCAACGAACTTCTGTCAGAATTTTGACAAACGTGGTTTGGTTTATAAAACTTTCACTATTTTAACTTATGGCATGCACAAACTGCCAAATATTGAATTCACAGAAGTTTCCTTACTTACTCTTTCACGCAAAATTTCTAAGAAACCCTCGACGGGGTGTCTTCCTGTTTCTGCTGTATGCGTGGGAAGACGCTAACTCTTACATACAAGAATGGACCTATGTCTCCCAACACTTGTTCATTGCATCTCATTGGGAACTATTAAGATTTAAAATTAATGAATTAATTTCCTTTAAATCGGGTGCAAGGCAGTGGAATGGTTACACAAGAACCCCCCCCCTAGCCATAACCTACGTCACCGATGCACGTGTTCAGTTGAAGTCATGAGCACAGATGACATAGATAAGAATTCCGTACAGAATGGTGTAGTGTTTGAACACCCATATCCTTCTGAAGGTTTCCATCTTCTGGGATATAAACTGTGTAGTCCTTTTGAAAGTCAGCCGACATTTCGGAGTAACACGCCGCCTACATCTTCAACTGTTAACCGCTTCAGGCTGACTTTTTCTTCAACCTCGAAAATGAAGACAACATGACCTTCCGAAAAGTCGGTTGGATTTTAAGGGACTACACTCCTACATATCTAAGAAAGTAGAAAACTTCTTAACATGAGTTTTCAGAATTTAAATCTTTTGCTTTTTCCTGATTCATACCAAGAAGCACTTGACTTAAAATAAATACTCACAATAGTCATACATGTGTGCGTATATATTCGCTTAGTGGGGATAGAGTCCAACTGGTTCCACTCGGCACGGCGGCCACTGATTGGCCTATTGTACCTGCATTGCAACTTCCCCGGGTGATTATGAAGATGGAGAATTTGGTGGAATGAAGATTGGCAGGGGAAACCGATGTACTCGGAGAAAACCCTCCCCAGGGCCACTTTGTCCACCACAAATCCTACTTCACCAGACCCGGGATCGAACCCGGGCCGCCGGGGTTGGAAGCCAGCGACTAACCACTTGAGCTATGGTGCGGTCTATATAGGGTAATTCTAAACTGTTGTCTTGGTGTAAGTGGACTATAAATTGAATGACCGCCAGTAACTTAGAATTACTCTGCATCTACCTATTGAAATCCGTCTAAGTGTATACTGGAACCTACCTGAAGAACTGCGCCAGCACCGAATACCAGGACTCGACGTTGTCTGTTTAAATTTTTTCCATTGATAGGCTCGTCTGATAGGCTCATAGTGGCTACCAGTAGGCACGCAATTGTGACCGCAATAAGCATTGTCGCTCGTAGCGTCACTGCGTTGTGCTCCAAGCTTACTGCATATAAATGAAGGCCATGTGTACAGTAGTCTCCTATGCAGCTCAGTATTGCATTTAACACCAGTTAGAATTTTTCGCAACTAAGTGAGAGTTATAAGTAAAGACAAGCAAACATTAACAGTGCATTTATTCGTGTTCTAAGTAACGGGAACAACAATGATACATAATGTCATGAAGAGAAGAATACATTCTTCAAGCGCAGGTTCTTGCTCTCTTCGAGTCTCTTCTCACTACACCGAAGATCAGAGTGCGTGAACGAAGCGCGATTTCCTACATTTAGGGCGGGACTCCATATGCCTAGAAAAATATTTGGGCCTAAGAAGAACGAAATAAATTAACAATTTAGGATATTTTAAAACAATTAGTTTCGTGGTTTATACAAGGCATCTAACATTATGGCAGTTGAATATAGAAAGTTACGTTAGTTTTGGAAATGCATACTGAATTTTTGTGATGAAACGTCTTGGAAAGAACAAATTTGGAGGGCCCAAAATTAACTTGGTAACATATTTTTATTGCTAGTGGGCGGGACCACGTCCCTTACACTGCGGCCACTTCTGGCCTATTGTACCAACCCCAGATGATAGGTGATAGATGATAGTACTCGGAGAAAACCTGCCCCAACGCCACTTTGTCCACCACAAATTCCACTTGACCAGAGCAGTGATCGAACCCTGGCCGCCGCGGTGGAAAGCCAGCAACTAACCTCTTTAGCTATTGCGCGTCCAAGGTAACATTAAGATTGACGTTTGCGAGATAAGTTGTAAGGATTGGAGAGGATTAAACTGGCTCAGAATCGTGACCCATGAAGGACTGCAACATTTGATGTACTGAAAATTCGAGTTCTGTTGCCAGAGATTTAGTAAATGTAAAGTAACGGGCAAAGTTATTCCCGTACTTAGACAATTAAGGACTAGGTCATGACAACGTATTGAGGAGTGGAGATATAGCTCCACCATTCTTCGGCACTATATGAAGGTGAGTGATCAACCTCACTCGCTGCCCGTTTCACGGCCGGGGTAACAACACCCAGCACCCACTGTGAAGAATATTTTGTAGGCACCGGAGCCAGTTTGGATGCTATGGAGAAAAGGGAAATCTCCTCCTGCTAGGGATAGAACCCAGATTCCTAGGTTACACAACCCATGGCCTAGTCAGTAATACAGAGAGTATTAGTGAGTTGACAGACTCTATATACGTCCGGTAATTTTGAGCGTCACGCAGCTCAAACTCCTCAAACTTCTCAACTTATGGATTAATGATAGGCTATTAGCGACATTGACCTCATTTCATCTTCATAAGATAATTAAAAAATTAGAACAAGGAATCGCACGTATTTTCTTATATGCGATTAACCTTGACCACTTTAATTAATTCTTGCATAATTGTTCTTCGTTAGAAGTTAATTGTTGCTTCAAATCAGGGAATCAGGGAACTTGTGGACCATTGGATCAAATATGAGGAATGCAGGATATTTATGAAGTTGATCCTGTGTGTATCTGCTTTCTGTAATGAACGAGCCTTCAATATTTTGTCTTGCCTAGGTATTATGAGTTGTTTTGTGATTTTGAATTACGAATTACTACGTAGCAATTCAATGGAAGACGTTGTAAATTTTTTCATATATTATTCGAAAGTCATAAGAGATTATGTAAGTTTTGAGGTTTGCACGGCGATGACTATGAAGAAAGTCGTCTTATGGGTTTTGGCGCCGTGTATTCTTCGTTTTGGCCGACGTTTCCGAGAAACGTATCGCCTCCATCTTCAGAGCAGGTGAATGGCTTGTGAATGCATTTATTGAATCCGTAATACCACGTGGTCGGTGCAGATTAACAGAATGTGTCAGTTTTCGGTAGGAATGATCACAATGTATTGGTCACTCCTTAATTGCATCTATGTTGAATTCTTGGGAGATGAAATCCAATGGTGATACTGGACAATCCGGATAAGCAGTATGGCAGTCTCCTTCGGATTTCCCCAGACACTCTGCACCCACATATTGTTTGTCAGATGGAAGATTCTCCAGAAGTTGTGTGTTATCACTACAGTTGACTTCCTCAGGCATGAGCTCCTGCGAAGGCCTGAAACATACAGAACAATTAATGTGTTCCGGATTTTACCAATTTAATATGGTTTGATTTTACTACTCCCCATGCAAATTGGCTATGTAAGCCAAACACTTCATCACACATGACCTTGAAAACTGAAGATAAAGGAGTTACAACAAAGTGTCGCTATCCGCCTACAAAGTAAAATATTGTCACATTGGGAGTGAAGCGCGGCCGGTGCGTAAGGCTGACAACCTTACCACCATTTTTGAGCCGATTGTCTAGATAATGTAGTACTCTTAACGTCTCACAACCCTATGGGCCTTCATGGCCTGTTGCTGGGATAGCTTTACTTTAACCTTACCGCCATCTCTGAGCCGATTGTCAAGGTAATGTGGTACCCTTAACGTCTCACAACCTATGGCCCTTCACGGCCTGTTACAGGGATAGCTTTACTTTTTACTTACTTTTTATCACTTCGTAATTTTCATATTATTTAGAAACCAGAATGCTAAAAAGTTGCACTAGGACTATTATTTCCGTCTGAGGAAGGATCTTTTAGTTCTCGAAGATCCCCTCGATTTTGTTTCCGTCGTACAACGCGCAAGATTTTGCAGCTACTTAGCGATAATGTGCTCTTTTTTCGCGATACCGAAGTGACAAGTTACAGCATATGTCATATAGGGACACTTACGTTAAAATTGCATGAATCACTTCCTCGAGGAAGTTCATGTCCTCGTGGTAGAATGGTGAGTGGGCAGCCTCACAGATGCTTCTGAGGACACACATTCGACCATTGAAGCCGTACTGTTCGAGCAATGATTCAAGAGGGGCGTAAATGTTCCTTAGGATCCTGTTGGATGTCTCTCGCCTCCGCATTATATCTGGTGCTGTATGCCACTGGGTTGCGTTCGTTGGCATGGGGAAAACCCTCTGAATGCCGTAGGAAATGGGGAGCTTCCTGTATTTGACTTCGACTGGCGTAGTTACTCCGAGAGTAAGCTATAAAAACAATATATATGCATACAAGGATAAAGTAAATTTCCTTCCCATATACAGAGGGATCCAATAAAAGTACATTTGATAGTCAGTATCTTTGAAACAAAATGACATGTAGTTACAATTATTGCGCAGAGAGAGAGAGCCATTTTATGTGTTCGAAGTGACCACCATCAGCGGCTGAACAGCGTTGATGCCGCCGAACTGTTGAGCGAACTATGGCTGTCAGTGTGTCCGGTGTGATGGTTGCACACGACGCTTCGATGGTCTCTCGTAGCGCGTTTAGTGTAGCTGGATTTTGTCGATAAACTTCATCCATCAAGGTTCCCTATAGGTAGAAGTCGAGAGGTGTTAGTTCTGGAGACCGTGGTGGGTACTCAATAGCATCTCTTCGACGTATCCATAGTCCATGTAGAATGGCATCCAAGTACGCTCTGACATCTCGATGGAAGTGAAGTGGAGCGCCATCTTGTTGTAGGTAAAATCTTTCATCTCCAAACAGCACTCGAATGGCAGGGAAAATCGAAGTCTGAAGCATATCGAGATACACCACAGCACTGGAAGCCTTACTTGTTACTATCCGTGGTCGCCCAGATCTTTGCTTATGCACATCATGAACAGTACCGTTGGCTTCAAATTCATCCCGAACACGGGCAGATGTTCGACGTGTTGCTGACTGAATTCCAAACTCATTCTGCCATTGTCGTTGTACTTCTTTAATATTTTCGTACTTCCAGTACCACTTCAATACAGCCTTGCCTTGCTCGAAGAACAACCTTTCAGCCAATGTTGCTGCTGTATTCTGCTCGCAGAGCGCCAGCAGCACGACACTCACGTGACTCATGTGACCTTCGCCATCTGTTGAGAAAACATTACACTACACTACACTAACTATGAGGTACATGTCATTTTGTTCCAAAGATAATGACTATGAAAGAGTGAGTATATTTTTTTTGTTTTTGATTTAAGAAAAATATTTGCTTTTATTTTTCCCTTCGTTGTCAGACTATTTTCAAATTTTTTTCCTATAATACATTGTACGGTATAAGTTTTCTCCTTTTTTCTGAAGGAAAATCTTTTTTCATATGCAAGATAAAATTGTTGTACCTTCTGATCACTGAGATATGTAACCAATTTCCCCCACCCCATAGTTTTATTGCATAAACTTCGAAATATCCTACGCCTGTTTCAAGCCTAAGAATTTCTTCACCCTTGATCAACATACACCTAAATCTGGGATACTGGAAACTGGGATACCTGTATATAAACGAGAGTATCCAGAAATTTAGGTACATTTCCCGCAATAAATTACCACTGTATGTGTCACTCCCTCATACATCTAAGCTGTGAAAATCGTGTCCGCTGGCGATAGTGTAGGAAGTAGACGCTATGAATAGCAAACATGCAGAAGCACCGCTGATTGTCCAGGTGAGAGTTGAGTGTGAGAGAGACTCAGGGACTCAAAGAAGAACGAACTACCGGTAGAGATAAAAGAAGAGACGCTATTGTGAAAATTGTTTCACACCTAAAAATTATTGTCCACTATGTGCCCTTCATGCAGGAAAGTGTTTTTAGAAACTGTGTTTTAACTAACAGACGTGTTTTTATAAAGCTGTTACATTCTGTGTTTGGTCGATCACAGTAGCTGCGCGGTCTAAAGAGTGAAAAGTCTTCGCTCACTCGAACACTGGAATCGTGATTTCGAATCCCACTGTACGCATGGATATGTTTGCGTTTATTCTGTGTTTGGATTGTTGTGTGTATAGGCCTAGCGACTGGCTGATCGCCCGTCCATGGAGTCCCTCTGACTGTGTACATTTTTTCCTTGGCACTACACCCCCAGTGCGCCTAGGCCTACCTCCATGAACTTCTCCGTTCACTTCGGTTTTTCTAGATCTTACACATTCGGTAGGACTCCTGGGGCGGGTGATCAGCTCGTCGCAAGGCCTCTACCTGTAGACAAACACACACAACTCTGACTGTCTATATGATTACGAAACTAAAAAGTAAAAGAAAAAAGCGGCCAAGGTCCAACAAAGGAACTATAGGGCCACAGATAGATTCTGTGTTTGAGTGAATATGGTAGTACCGTTCGAATATTCAATATCGCTATTAAGCACTGTACTTACCTCCTTTTTATAAAGTGTTTGTATATTCAGATGTTCTCTCCTTTGATTTTTGTAATATTAGATTATATGTAATACCTTCACTCTTTCGGAAGCGAATTAAATAAGTACAATACATCCTCGTATGTATATTCACGTAGTCGTTATTACAATGATTATTAATTAGTTATTAATAATACTATAAATTCATACTTTTAAAATTGGAGTATTTTACGTAGGATTAGTTAAAATAATACCTAAGGATACATGTTTGAAATCGCGCAAAACGTAGAAGGTAAAGTTTAACGTGTGGTTAATTAACTAAGCATCACGCCGTGAAGTACGAAGGAGTGGAGGAATAGATCCAAGCACTCTTAGATAAGCCACACACCGGCATGCGTCAAGACATGTAACAGTCAAGACACGATATCTGCGACATGAAGCAAAGAAAGGAGCGCAGTTGAAACGAATGAGATTATGAAAACCGCCGCCCACTGGTCTGAATCATGATGCAGACGTCAGCTTCATGCTGACGAATCACGAATGAAATATGACTGCGTCTTTTATCTCATGTCTTGATGCTTGTCTTGACGCAGTTGGTGTGCGGCCGCCGTTAATATCTGCGCAAGACCGAGATGAGGGCTGAAGTGCAATGCTCAGACAAGGGCATGGGACGGCAAAAGCAAGAAAACTGAACCTAAATGTGGCATTCATAAATTGCAGACAGAAGTGGAAAGGAAAGGCCAGGGAGACTCCCGAAGGAATTAAATTGCATTATTCGTGAAGAAAAGATTATATATATATGTGTGTGTGTGTGTGTCAATACGTGTCCCATTCCACTGAAATTGGCACATATTTTTTTTTTTTATTTTACTCCATATGTGACTGTGTTTAGGTCGGTACATTAGCAGACATGTGTCCATGTCATTATAGTAAATCTAATCCGCTAATCGTTTTTAGATCAGTGTTTCCCTTTTCTGCCTTCATTATTTTACACCTATAATCTTTTCCCTGTATACGCTTTTTTGATCACTGTTTGTGGTCTACAGAAATAGATACGTATATATTTTGTTGTAAAACTGCTAGTGAAATAATTTTCGGATATCATGTTGGCAATAATGTAGAATGTACTATAACCGTTGTTCGCCACTTCTCGTGACCGTTGCCTATCTATCTTTATGTTTATTTATTTATTTTCCCGCTTCGGTAGAACACTTGACTCATTTATTTGCTCGCTTCGGTAGAACACTTTTGACTCCTCTCAGGGTTGTGCCACGGTAATAACTGGGGCGACAAGGAGACTGCACTTTTAAAGCTAGTCCACTGATAGAAATGAAATACTCTATTTCTGCTTAATCACAAATTGTTTAATTCAGAAACAAACACTATGTCGTTATTGGCAAGTAGGGAGTAATGTGCCCTTTTATTGTTATCAAAGGTTAATCGAACCAAATAAAGAATGTTAAATTTAGATAAACTTGGAGAGACCAGCTCAATATGTCTGCCTCTGGTGAATTCAAAATGCCAAGTGCTTCTGCCCACTCTATTCTGCGGAAGCGTCACTTCATCACGGTATAGGATTTGAACGGACGGCCTTTCTCCCAGACAAGAATACAAGTAGTCTTCTAATGGCTGATTTTAACTGCCAATTCATCATACCATCAGTACTAGACAATCGCATTACTAACTTTTAGAATAAATAGATCCAAAGATATTGAATCCCGAACCCTACATGTGAAAGCGCTTATTTCTTAGTTTAGGGTCTAATTACACCCTTCCGAAGACACTTTAATAACAGCTACCCTATTAGCAAAACAACATTTACATCTTGGGCAGACTACAGACATGTCCTTTCCTAATGGGCCTCGACCCTTTAGCGGTCACCCAAGCTGCAGGTAACAAAACAAGGCAGTTGTTCCTGTCTAAATGCGAAACTTCTTAATGGATGGGTCTCCCTTATAAATCAGTCACTCTATTGAAATGACTAAAGTGGAACACAGTGTCCATTAAAGAGTATTAAAAGGTTTGGATGGTTACAGTACAATATAATAATTTCCCTTTTTTATACCATCTGGGCGTATTGTTATTATATACCTATTTAAATTGTGGGAAATTTGGTGACTTCCTTCTTTACGTATACAATGAGATAATTTGGTTATTACAAATTTTCTTTATTTCAAGATTCTGAGAAAAGTGAGATATACTCTCAGATTTTGAATACATTTAAGAAATAACATTATATATAACTGTTAAAAGAAATTTTGTGAGACATTATTATCTTAATTGATTTCGGTTAGTAAAGTGGAAATCCTGGCACATTCTTTCTACATTATTATTGTGAACACTCTCAATATTTCACATCCCCTTACTGCACCCAACGCCAACCACAGACACGTCAAACACCGACAGACACCCTTTACTTATAACTTAAATAACATAAATTTCTCCTTGTTTCACAAGTCATAGCTACTTGGGAACGACTACTTCATAATTAACATTATTAGGCAGATAATGCAATTAGAGAAACTGATGGGTAACAAAGTCTTACTTACTTACTTATGGAGCTGAGCCCTTCTTGAGGAGTCGCCAGTTTTACAGCTACTCAAGAATTTCCCAGCATTCTGTGGAACCCGAATGTTCATTACCGTGTTCACAAGAGCCCTCCACTGATCCCTATCCAGAACCAGATCAATGCAATCCATATTATCCCACCCTCTAACTTATGGATATGGTTAATGAAAATATTTTTTTTAAATAAAACGAAATAGTAATATATATTTAACTGTCCACTCACCTCCTCTTCGTTGTGAAGCCACTTTTTATAATACTTCTCACCTACCATCTTGTTTCTGCATAATTATGATCTCTTTGTACTAAAATTTATCTCAGGGTTAATTGTTTTGTGAAGAGGTGAGGTGGTTGATTCGGTAGAGCTGAATTCTAATATCTCAGAGCCTTATACAGGCCACAACTTAAAGAAGCAAGAAATTAAACACAACTACAAAGCATTTATCAAGTTGAGATGTATTATTATTAAAACACTTGTTTAGTTACTGCTTAACACCGCACAACTGACTAACATCAGTATACTTTACTTCTTGTTTCTACAAGATTCACGCCACTTTCTAACCGAGGTCCGGCTTGTAAGTTTTAAATCTGCTTTCCTCAAGGGCCGGAGTGTGAGATTTTACTTATGATTCCTATGGTTCCGGTACGTAATCTTCACTTCTGGTTCTTACGAGTCCCGGTAAGTGACTTTCACGTCTGGTTCTTACGAGTCCCGGTACGCGACTTTCACGTCTGGTTCTTACGAGTCCTGGTGTGTGACTTTCACGTCTGGTTCTTACGAGTCCCGGTACGTGACTGACTTCGACAACTGATGGCACTTGGAACCATCAAGTCCTTATTTCCACCAGCGTCTATACTCTGTCACACCCTTAAATTTTTAGTGATTGGTCAATTTAAAAAATATCTATTCTCCCAATCCTTTTACTCATTACAACGGATTTTGGCATTTTGAATTCCAACGAACTTCTGTCAGAATTTTGACAAACGTGGTTTGGTTTATAAAAGTTTCACTATTTTAAATTATGGCATGCACAAACTGCCATATATTGAATTCACAAAAGTTTCCTTAGTTACTCTTTCACGTAAAATTTCTAAGAAACCCTCGACGGGGTGTCTTCCTGTTTCTGCTGTATGCGTGGGAAGACGCTAACTCTTACATACAAGAATGGACCTATGTCTCCCAACACTTGTTCATTGCATCTCATTGGGAACTATTAAGATTTAAAATTAATGAATTAATTTCCTTTAAATCGGGTGCAAGGCAGTGGAATGGTTACACAAGAACCCCCCCCCTAGCCATAACCTACGTCACCGATGCACGTGTTCAGTTGAAGTCATGAGCACAGATGACATAGATAAGAATTCCGTACAGAATGGTGTAGTGTTTGAACACCCATATCCTTCTGAAGGTTTCCATCTTCTGGGATATAAACTGTGTAGTCCTTTTGAAAGTCAGCCGACATTTCGGAGTAACACGCCGCCTACATCTTCAACTGTTAACCGCTTCAGGCTGACTTTTTCTTCAACCTCGAAAATGAAGACAACATGACCTTCCGAAAAGTCGGTTGGATTTTAAGGGACTACACTCCTACATATCTAAGAAAGTAGAAAACTTCTTAACATGAGTTTTCAGAATTTAAATCTTTTGCTTTTTCCTGATTCATACCAAGAAGCACTTGACTTAAAATAAATACTCACAATAGTCATACATGTGTGCGTATATATTCGCTTAGTGGGGATAGAGTCCAACTGGTTCCACTCGGCACGGCGGCCACTGATTGGCCTATTGTACCTGCATTGCAACTTCCCCGGGTGATTATGAAGATGGAGAATTTGGTGGAATGAAGATTGGCAGGGGAAACCGATGTACTCGGAGAAAACCCTCCCCAGGGCCACTTTGTCCACCACAAATCCTACTTCACCAGACCCGGGATCGAACCCGGGCCGCCGGGGTTGGAAGCCAGCGACTAACCGCTTGAGCTATGGTGCGGTCTATATAGGGTAATTCTAAACTGTTGTCTTGGTGTAAGTGGACTATAAATTGAATGACCGCCAGTAACTTAGAATTACTCTGCATCTACCTATTGAAATCCGTCTAAGTNTGACCGCAATAAGCATTGTTGAGCGTGGAGTCACTGCGTTGTGCTCCAAGCTTACTGCATATAAATGAAGGCCATGTGTACAGTAGTCTCCTATGCAGCTCAGTATTGCATTTAACACCAGTTAGAATTTTTCGCAACTAAGTGAGAGTTATAAGTAAAGACAAGCAAACATTTACAGTGCATTTATTCGTGTTCTAAGTAACGGGAACAACAATGATACATAATGTCATGAAGAGAAGAATACATTCTTCAAGCGCAGGTTCTTGCTCTCTTCGAGTCTCTTCTCACTACACCGAAGATCAGAGTGCGTGAACGAAGCGCGATTTCCTACATTTAGGGCGGGACTCCATATGCCTAGAAAAATATTTGGGCCTAAGAAGAACGAAATAAATTAACAATTTAGGATAGTCTAAAACAATTAGTTTCGTGGTTTACGCAAGGCACCTAACATTATGGAAGTTGAATATAGAAAGTTACTTTAGTTTTGGAAATGCATACTGAATTTTTGTGATGAAACGTCTTGGAAAGAACAAATTTGGAGGGCCCAAAATTAACTTGGTAACATATTTTTATTGCTTGTGGGCGGGACTACGTCCCTTACACTGCGACCACTACTGGCCTATTATACCAACCCCAGATGATAGGTGATAGATGATAGTACTCGGAGAAAACCTGCCCCAACACCACTTTGTCCATCACAAATTCCACTTGACCAGAGCAGTGATCGAACCCTGGCCGCCGCGGTGAAAAGCCAGCAACTAACCTCTTGAGCTATGGTGCGGCCAAGGTAACATTAAGATTGACGTTTGAGAGATAAGTTGTAAGGATAGGAGAGGATTAAACTAGTTCAGAATCGTGACTCATGAAGGACTTCGTCATTAGATGTACTGAAAATTCGAGTTCTGTTGCCAGAGTTTTAGTAAATGTAAAGTAACGGGCAAAGTTATTCCCGTACTTAGACAATTAAGGACTAGGTCATGACAACGTATTGAGGAGTGGAGATATAGCTCCACCATTCTTCGGCACTATATGAAGGTGAGTGATCAACCTCACTCGCTGCCCGTTTCACGGCCGGGGTAACAAACCCCAGCACCCACTGTGAAAAATATTTTGTAGGCACCGGAGCCACTTTGGATGCGATGGAGAAAAGGGAAATCTCTTTCTCCTGCTAGGAATAGAACCCAGATTCCTAGGTTACACAACCCATAGCCTAGTCATTAATACAGAGAGTATTAGTAAGTTGACAGACTATATACGCCCGGTAATTTTGAGCCTCACGCAGCTCAAACTCCTCAAACATCTCAACTTATGGAGTGACGCTGATCATTCTGAGCCCTTATTTATTTGGATGATTATAGAGGACCATGAAATTTATTTCTAATTAATTCTCGGCAATTTTTATTTCAAAAATCTTACGTTTCGATATTACTGGGAATGGTTTGTGATCTTTAATATCGTATTTCATTGTCTGGGACTTGCGATACGGTGTTTATGTTGAAATTTCTAGATTCTGGAAGGACCAAGGAGTCCGTAGTTCTGACATTTACAAGCAGTCATAAATTTAGCTCGGGTACAGGGAACGGGACGCGCCTAAAGGGAAGGTAAATGAGAAGGACAGGTCAGAACTTGTTACAGTTGCCTGTGAATGAGGGCCAGTATGATTGAGTTGCCTCGTTCAAGCTTCCTACGGAAGTTGGAATGAAATGTATATGTCCACACCATGGAGAATTCGAATTGTTTCGAATTCCCGGCGTGGGGTTTGCAAGCCATTCCACAAAAGGGAGACTTTCACAATATTACGAACTGAACGGACGTGACCCTTGCACGTTCCGAGACATAGCTTACCGATCGTGTAACGCTGTAACTTAAAGCTAAGAATACATTAATTTAACAGTGTGGTTTGGAGAACAAAGGTGAATAAACGTCATTTGGATTAACTCCCAGAATACCGCTTTCTTCGGCAGCGCTACCCTGAGACTCATGCAAACCGACCCAGCTAGTTTCCCGTACCTATACCGATCTTCCTTAGTTTGATCTGTGAGGACAACTTGCAGTGGCCATCATACACTGTCCTAAGGTAGAAACAGGTCTAGCAGGGATAGCACCATTCCGACTGAGCTGATACAAACAAAGGCGGGTTGGAAAAGAGCGGTGTTAGGATTAATGATAGGCTACTAGCGACATTAACCTCATTTGTTCTTCATAAGATAATTAAAAAATTTGAACAAGGATATTGCACGTATTTTCTTATATGCGATTAACCTTGACCACTTTAATAAATTCTTGCATAATTGTTCTTCGGTAGAAGTTAATTATTGCTTCAAATCAGGGAGTCAGGGAAATTTTGGACCATTGGACTAAATAAAAGGAATGCAGGATATTTATGAAGTTGATCCCGTGAGTATCTGCTTTCTATAATGAATGAGCCTTCAATATTTTGTCTTGCCTTCGTATGAGTTGTTTTGTGATTTTGAATTACGAATTACTACGTAGCAATTCAATGGAAGACGTTGTGAATGTTTTGATGTATTAGTCGAAAGCCATAAGAGATTAGTTTACAATTTTCAGCTTCCAGAGGTCTCCTCGGTCTGTATCAGTTAAAGAAATTTCAGGTAGTAAATTTCAACAAATTTACGGAATTTCTTTAAGGAGCGCAAAATAGATAAGGAATAAAATTATGAGGAAAGTTAAACTCTTTTATGTGGTAGGCACAAACCAAAAATATTTCTTTCTGTGCATTATATAAGTCACTTCAGATCCTTGAGAGTTTTCTCTTAAGAATAAGTTTTGGATATCCGGAAATGATCATGCATATTATTTCCAGCTTACTCACGATAAGATCTTACAGAAAATTGAAGCGTGAAAAGCGACGGATTTTTTTAAAAATGTAAAATTCAGATTTGCTTAATATTCAAATTTTTCAGCTTGTCGAATATTTATATGTCTAAGAATACGAAAGGGAAGAAATGGGATTCCACCTATTTCAGACAGTTGGGTTGGTGTTATATTGTACATCATTGAAGTTCCTACTCCATTTCATTCTGGAAACATTTCTAATTGTATTGTTTGCGAGATATAATCCAAAGGAGATTCGGGACAGGCTGGATAAGCAGCGTCACAGTCTCCGCCCGACTTTCCCACGCATTCCGCAGCGAAGTACTGTTTCTCTAGGGGCAGATAGTCCATAACCTGTGTGTTGTCACTACAGTCAGCCTCTGCTGGCGAAACTTCTTGTGAAGGCCTGTAAGAATATAAGGAACCACTTACTCCTGTTTAATACACAAAGTGTGCGCGATATCTATCCATAAGTGCATAAAATAAACGCACGATATTGAGGTCATGTTTCTCTGTCTACAAAATTATTTGTCGGATTAAAATGTAAAGTTGTCCCTGTGCTTAACTAATTAAGCACTACACCATGAAGGCTTATGGGGGAGTTGATATATAGATCCACATTTTCTTGACCTCGGTACTAGCTGGAGGATAATGATCAGCTTCACGCCTCGGCCGCTTTACTCTCGGGGAAAGAGCCCCCTGTACGTAGTGGATAGGAGATTGGGTGAACCCAAGAGCCGGTCTGGACGTCGTGAAGAAGATAATATTTTTGACCCAATCGGGACTCGAACACCGATCCCTCGGTCGTCTAGCCCGTAGCTAGTCGTTATCTCCGGATTGTTTGATTGCGATTAGATTTGTTCTTGGGTATTCGCATCGTAAAATTTGGCTGTCTTAACTTTAAAATAAAGCGGTGAGTGGAAATCTCTATTTAACACATCATTAATTGAATTACCGGAGTACCAGAACAGCACAATATAATATTTACTACACATATTTACACACTCTTATTTACAATAAGATTTCGGTTACGTGGAACTGAGGTGTGTTTTGATGTGTGAATATTTAATCGCATGTAAAGGGAAATAATTTCTACTCCAGTGCTAGCTTTGCAAGATAAATTAGTATTTGCAGAAAATGGTTGTCTCAATGAACCTTGAACTTTCGGAAATATTACGCCTGGGGAATGAATACCCGCTCTTCAGTTTTGAGATTTCAAGGTTGTGAAATTTCATGATCTGGGTAACGAGAAGTGAAACTTAATAAAGCTTGTTTGTTAATATTTATTTTGAAAAAGACAGACAACTGTGAGTCATATGAAAGAATATCTTCGAATTAAGTTGTCTTGGATTCAGATTTAAGAGATACACTATATTTCTTTTTAATTTAAGTGGCCTTAGACTCCAATTTTTTAAAATATCGCTGCTGTTTTAAAATTTATGAATTTTGAAACATTTCAAAACTTCGATATCATTAAAAAATATAATTTCTGAAAGTTTCATATATCATCAAATTTCTCAAAATTTTCAATTTACTGAATTTTCGAAAAATTTTAATTTTAATGTATAACATAAAATATTCATTTGTAAATTTCAGGAAGTAATGAGAGTTATGAAATTTCTGAACATTTAAAACAAATTTGAACACATTCAATTCTGTAATAAAAAATATGTTTTTGGTTTGTTAACAAGATTCAAAACGCTCTTATATATATTCTCAAACATGTAAAATATTTTATGAATTTGAAAACATGATCGATTCCGGAACAAACTTGTACTGGTCCTCACTTCATCACAGTACAGAAGATTTCATTCTTCACGGCCACCGCTGTGAGGCGATGCTGAAGTAACTTGTTGCTTATTACTTACGTTAAAATTGCGTGCACAATTTCTTCGAGAAGATTCAAATCCTCGTGGTGGAACGGCGAATGAGCTGCTTCACAAATGCTTCTGAGGAGACACATTCGTCCATCGAAGCCATGATCTTCTAGGAATGTTTCTATCGGCAGGTATATATCCGCCAGTGCTCCGCTGGCGATTGCGCGCCGTCCCATAATCTCAGGTGCCGTGTGCCACTGTGTTGCGTTTGTGGGCATGGAGTAGACCATTTGAATTCCGAAAGAAATGGCTAGGGTCCTATTTGGGGCACTCATTGGCATTGATAACCCCACAGTAAGCTGTTGCATAAAAATGTGTAATTAATTCCATAGAAATATGTATATTCCGCGGTATGCGCGTGAGGTTAATAAAAGAAGCTCGATATAAACAGAATATTTAGGGGAGGGTTATTTTGGCTTTGCTGTGTAATGTGGAGTAGTGTTTTCTAAAAATACATAGAAGATCACTTATTATAATTAATTGAACTTTCATCCTGTCACGGAGGCCTACATGGAATATAGTTCTCTATTTTTATCCAGTTTTGCCAACCGCGGTATTTGATTTCTCTTTGTCCGTGATTAAATGGAAAAAAAAACAGGGCTTAACCACCAAGATATATTCATAACAATTATCATGATCATTGATCTTGAAGGGTAAATAATATAACTGATGAGTCCATGTTTCAATATATAAGTTTTCTGAAATTTTGCTGTTTTTAAATTAGTTATTACGGATTTTCTTTATATAGTAAATGAGTTTCCAATGGTTGTTAATATGAACCTTGAGTCCAATAACTCCTAATTTATGAAGCTTTCGTCTTTCCCGCTGCTCTTATGACTTATTTTTTAGTGCTGCAACCCTCGCGGGTGGCGAGAGGTAGTTATATATTTAGCATAGCCATTTATAGGACTCGTATGTTCTGAGGAGTCCTGAAGGAATCGCCATATTGAATTTCCGGAGAAAGTGTAGGACACCCAAAGAAAGGTTTGAAAATAGGTTCAGATCTTAACTCAGAAAGGAACAACATGAAGGCTATGGCGATGACGATGACGATGACGATGACGATGACAGTGACAATGACGATGACGATGACGATGACGATTGAGCCGATGCCGATGATGCCGATGTCGATGATGCCGATGCCGATGACGGTGACGGTGACTGTGACCGTGACCGTGACCGTGACCGTGACCGTGACGACGACGGTGACGATGACAATAACGATGACGATAATGGTGATGATGGTTCCAAGCGAGCCAAATATTTTAATTTGTAGAGTGATTCCTTTTTGTATATCTTTCCTATCTAACGTCGATTAGCTCCCAACTGACCTACAACAAACTTGTTGATCTACAAAGTACAAATGTAATTCACTGATTTTGGATAACTCATAGTCAGTGATATTTTAAAAACTGTAAGCCTGTCTTAATAAAGCGAATCCGGAAACGCAGACGTTCTCAGGCGGAGAATGTTTGTGTCACGTTTGTCAACGTGCGTATATGGAAGGACGTTAAAGAAGTTAAAGAAATCAAAGCTTAGGACGACAGGATCTAAAATTGAAATAACATAGGAAATGACAGTTTTCAACGTTCTGATTATCTCACATTTATTATTTATTTATTATTATCTAACATTTATCTCATTAATTATCAAGTTAATCATAATTTAACAACAGTTTGAGTGGCGCATAATATATTTTCTAAATAAAAATCAGTATTGTAGGCTAATCACTAAACATGCGCTGCTGCATAAGACTTAGTATTCTCAACTTTTTATCCGTGTTTGACATGTACAATTAAATTTCTCTAAGCACAAATAAGTGATCTAAATTGAAAATTTATAATTTGACACGAAAATTTTAAATTGTTTCCACTACAGACATTTTTTCGACAGTATTTAAATTTCTATTCTACTGATCTCCATACTATTCTGATTTCATAAATACACATATTTTTACTAAGCGTTTAGAAAAATACAAAAAATTGGGTTACAGATATAGTCCAGGATCATGACTGATATTGCATTATTTGTCCAAAAATTTCCATCAAATCCTTCAACAAGAATTATTAATATTAATAATAATTATAACTCAATTACTTATTTGTGTGCCAACATAACATACAAATAATAATAATAATAATAATAATAATAATAACAATAATAACAATTATAGCATATTATAAAAATCGTTTGGGGAGAACATTCCTGGCTTCGAATACGTCAACATCCCTGCAGACAGCATTAGCAGCTGCTGCACATCGAGCAGAGGGACAGTTCTAAGGAGGAGCAAACACTGAACAATGCAAAGTCTCTAATATACCGAGCAGGAACTCGGAGACCAACAATTTCCAGAACAGAAGGGCAGAAATTCAAATCAAAATAAACGTGAGTAAGAAAGAGAGCATCAAGGCGATGTCTCCTGTACGTAAAGTATGCAATTTTAACTCCTCAAGAGCAAGAGAATGACTGTAATGAACTTGAGGAAAGAAACGATTAAAACAAAGGGTCGCAAACCTTTGCTGGATGCGTTCCCGCTGTTGGCATCAGTTGACGTAATCGAATTCCAGGCTATGGACGCATATTCAAGCTTAGATCTAACTAATGCAGTGTACAATCTGAACATACAGTTTAGAGATGAGGAATTGAAAGTAATGTTACGAACTAGACCCAAAAGTTTAGCACAGTGAGAGAAAATGTAATTGACGTGGTCATGGGAATGAAGTTTAACGTGAATTGATGATGATTATGATGATGATGATGATGATGATAATAATAATAATAATAATAAGAAGAAGAAGAAGAAGAAGAAGAAGAAGAAGAACAAGAACAACAACAACAACAACAACAACAATAATGGTGCTGGTGGTTGTGGTTATGGTGTTTATATGAACAATTATGTCTGTCTGAGTGACATATTAAGGTCTCTGTAATACTAAAGACGTAAACTTTCGACCTTTCAAAGGAAATGTTATGAACTATTTTCTTGTGACACAAGGACTCAACTGAATATATATATATATATATATATATTTGGAGTATCCAGGTAGTAGTAACATTCAGTATTTAAGATGAAGTTTGAAATAAAATCACAAAGACTAGTTTTATAACGTGCAATCTTACCAGTGTTTATTTAATTCGCTTAGTGAAGGGGGAGGGGTGGAGTCCAACGGGGTCCACTCGGCACGGCGGCCACTGATTGGCCTATTGTAGCCTGTCCCGGGTCATTATGATGATAGAGAATTTGGTGGCATGAAGATTGGCAGGGAAAACCGAAGTACTCGGAGAAAACCAACCCCAGGGCCACGTTGTCTGCCACAAATCCCACTTGACTAGACCCGGGATCGAACCCGGGCCGCCGCGGTTGGAAGCCAGCGACTAATTGCTTGAGCTATGGTGCGGCCCTACCTTACCAGTGTTATAAATTCTCTGCTGTTAATATCACATTCAGTTGGTGTAAGCTTATAATCCAAAAGTAAACCGAAACTGACTCAGCGTTCAGAAATTGGTACAGGTTACAAAGTTGAAGTCACACTAAAATTTGAAATTTTCGTCTGAGATATTTCCTCGTAGGGCACATGTACGCCTAAAATTGTGACAAAAAATTCTGACTCTGTGTTTTTGATTTTCAAAAACAGATAACTATTTGAGAAAAATAGACAACAATGACAACAAATCAAAAGTGTAGCAAACAAATTACTGCATAAATGTCAGATCAGGCAAAACTAGGACAAGAATAAGTAGTTTAACGTACCTGTAAAACCGTCCCTGTTGGGAACACTAGGGCACGGCGTTCCCGGTACGGAGACTCCCCACTATTTATGTCATTTGACAGAGACCAGGTTGTTACAAGCATGGAAATGGTGATAATTATAGGGTAAGCTGCCTGAAAGAGCCGCGCCATCTTGTAACCTCGCCAACTGATACTAACAGTGCGAGACTGGGTGGTCGCACATTTATACAAATTTGCTTTTCTCTTTAACATGAACTATAGGTTTCTTGTAGACGATAAGGCGTACACAGCCTGTTGTTCCTTATTATACTGGCCAATGAAGGACGCCAATCCAAGTGAATGTTTAATAGAACCTGCTCCTCCTTTCTTCTGAATTTTATTTAGCCCTTAATTAAGACATGGCGATAATGCGTTTTACAGGAAACGACGCTGTAAACTTCGTGTTTTCGAAAGGGAGTTCTCAGAATGAAAACACTGTATATTAAGTAGAGCCGCAAATGAATGCCTCTGAAGTTCCTGATATGAAAGAGAGTAACGCGGTGCTTGCCGAGTTTCCACAGTAGCCCGGAAATTTTAATTAATTAGTCAGGCGTTACACTTGTGATGAATAATGAAGTTGCGCACATTCGATTAAGCATTGCTGATCCAGTAGCAAATATATCGGAATTCATATCAAAATAGAAGGAATTTAGAAATGCCTTATAGTCATGAATAATTTGGCCCACGCATGAAGCAAGAAATATATTCTGAACAACAAAATTTATTTCATTTAACAAATAATTAACAGATCGGAACATGATTCAGGAGGAAATTAAGAGGAGATTGAACTCAGGTAATGCTTGTTACCATTCAGTCCAGAAACTTTCGTCTTCTCGTCTGCTGTCTAAAAACATAAAAATTAGAATATACAAAACTTAAATTTTGCCTGTGGTTCTGTATGGGTGTGGAACTTGGTCTCTGACATTAAGGGAGTACATAGACTGAGGTGTTTGAGGACAAGGTGTTGAGGAGGATATTTGGACAGAAGAGGAATGAAGTGACAGGAGGTTGGATAAAACTGCATAAAGAGGAGCTTCATAACTTGTACTCTTCTCCAAATATAATTAGAATGATCAAGTCAAGGAGGATGAGGTGGACAGGGCATGTAGCACGAATGGGGGAGATGAATGCAACCGTTTTATTATATCCGTCACAACACAACTAATATCAAGATCAGATCATTTTCAGGCCTGCTACATGTTTCGGCTATTGATAGCCAGGCGAACACATGATTTACACACGTATACACACCACTGAACCGCAGCACCAACAAAATTGGATACAATATTATTAAAAAATATAAAAACACTTGACATAAAAAATACAATAAATCAAGTTATATAAAACAGAAGTATGATATAAAATAAGAATAAAATTCTTTTGGTGCTTTTACATCAACGTGTCAGTCGTTGGTTTGTGATTTGTTTGTTGTTTCTTTCCCACGGACAAGTTGGTATATTCATACTTATGTGTATATAAAATTGTGTATGAGGCTCATAATGTAGATGTAGTAAAGTAAATTATAATATTAATCAGTGCCTCATCTCACAAAGTATTGCCCGTACTGTAGGGAATGTAAACAAATACTCATGAATGCATATAGGATATTGGTGGGAAAGCCAGAAGGAAAGAGTCCACTGGGAAGACCAAGGCGTAAGAGGCTGGACAATATTAAAATGAATCTTAGAGAGATAGGATGGGATGGTATGGATTGGATTGATCTGGTTCAGGATAGGGACCAGTGAACACGGTAATAAACCTTCGGGTTCCATAAAATGCTGTGAAATTCTTGAGTAGCTGCAGAAGTGGCGGCTCCTCCAGAAGGGCTCAGCTCCATGACTAAGTAAGTAAGTAAGTAAGTAATGAATATTTATAGCAATATAAAATGTGCATCTAGTAGAATTAACGCTGAACATAGAATAAATTATTTTGGAAAATCAGTGCATATTGTGGATAGATGTTGTTCATTCTTTACGTTTTATATAAATATATATACTTGATCCCCCTCGTTGGTGTCTCCACCTTATCGTGGTGAGGGTTTTGAGTATGCCAAGGACCCTGAGAGCTATACCAGCGGTAGCGTAGCTACTGGCAGGGCCTCCCTTGCTGGACAGGTCAAAGGGTAGGCATCAGACGAAGAGAGACACCAAAAACCAAAAACTGATGCCGGAAGCAGCGTCATCAGCAGCGACTTGAAGCACAGAACAAATGATGCTCGAGATGGTTCAAGTTCGTATAGCAACAGGCGTGACCAGAGTGGTTTGAACGGCTGTTGTACTGCGATGTGGAAAGCAAATGGAAAAACTACCACATTATCACTTTTCCTGGATAGTCTCTTTCCAAAAACAGAAGATCACATTAAGTGGAGGAACCTGTCATCTGACAGTTACTGATCAATCAATCAATATACTTGATCATAAAGTATGTTTTGCAGTGTTTTTTGTGACTATATTTTAGGCACTTGACAACTTCGTGTTACACTGAATTGCTGCTAATAAAAGAGATTCATAGTACATATTCTTACTGCGACCAGTAAACGATGTATTTGGAGGATAAAATATTGATATGTTTTTTCATATTTGAAGTAACAAAGACTCTTAGCTTTTAATGTACACACTTCAGTGCACGTACTGCAGTTTGGTAATACTTAAATAAAGTTGCGACGAACCGTTACATATGACGAATATATTTATTAGAGCAACATTTATAAAGTTGATATTTTCTAGAACTCTTTCACTCTGTAAGTAGTTGCAAATTTAACGTCTGGGAGATCATATCCAGAGGAGACTTCGGGCAATTGGAATAGGCGGTTCCACAATTTCCGTCGGATTTTCCCAAGCACTCTGCAGCCACGTACTGCCTCTCAAGAGGCAGATATTCCAGCCCATAACTGCTATCACTGCAGTGTGCTTCTCCAAGCTGAACTCCTTCAGAGGGCCTGTAACAAATACTTCCTACCCTGACTAATCTTGCACTAAACCTCAGTCATAATTGTGGTATGCAGTAAAAGTATCACCAGTGTCGAGGTTAGTGTGAATATTGGTTCAAACCCAAACTGTTCCTCACTTTTACTTTAACAACAAGCACAGAGAATTATTCCTCAGAAATTTCGATCGAATTCCAAACGAATACACGGGTTTACGAGGTCTGACAATAAAATTTGCGAACTCGCCACCATGTGCTTGCCATGGCACATCATTGGCATGTCAACGTTTCACAGCTGTGTTGTTGTTGTTGTTGTTGTTGATCTATGGCAGTATCTTTCTGAGTGGTGACTATTATTGTCTGAGTGTGCTTTGGTGTGCGGTTTCGAGAATGTCGGAATTTGAATTAGAGCACTGTCTGTGAGAGTGATTTTAGCTTATACACAAATACCTGTGCTGGAGCGCCCTCCCTATCCGCCGGATCTAGCCCCCAGTGACTTTTCTCTGTTCACGAAGATAAAGGAAATATTAAAAAGGAAGGAATTTTGATGACACTGATGACATCAGAATTAACACAACGGCAAATCTGAAGAACATTCCACAAAACCAGTTCCAAAATTGTTTTGAAGTGTAGACTAGGCTCTGGCATCGGTGCATAGCTTCCCAAGGGGAGTCCTTTCAAGGCAACAACAGAGATATTCAACAATGCGATATGTAGCATTTTTTTACCTCGATGAGTTCGCGAACTTTGTTGTCAGTCCACGTATATTCCAGAAGAGAGAATTCCTTATATCAACTTGTAGTTGGGCCGCGCCATAGCTCAAGCGGCTAGTCGCTGGCTTCCCGCCGCGGCAGCCCGGGTTCGATCCCGGGTGTGGTCAAGTGGGATTTGTGGTGGACAAATTGGCGCTGGGGCAGGTTTTCTCCGAGTACTTCGGTTTCCCCTGCCAATCTTCATTCCACCAATTGCTCCACAATCACCCTCACCTATCATCTGGGGCTGGTACAATAGGCAAGAAGTGGCCGCAGTACAAGGGACTTAGTCCCACCCCACTAGCAATAAAAAGAAAAACTTGTAGTTTATATAATGAGTTATTAATTTTCTCATTTTCCATATTTAAACCTTAAGCCAGGCAAATCCACTTACGTTAAAACTGCATGAGCCATTTCCTCGAGGAGATCCATGTTTTCATGTTGGAATGGCGCATGCGCAGCTTCACAGATGCTCCGCAGGAGACATGCTCGGCCATCGAAGCCATACTCCTCTAGGAATTCCTCAAGAGGGAGGTACATATCGAGTAGGGGCGTGTTGGAGATTTCTCGTTTCCCCAATATGTCGGGGGCCTGGCTCCACTGGGATGCTTCAGTTGGTAAATTGAAGACGGCTTGATAGTACAGTGACATTGTAAGCGTCCTATTTGGGACACTCACCGGTACTGACAGTCCCATATTAAACTGTAAAAAGTCACAAATAAATTATAAGAAGTGATGATTTCTGAAAAATTGTCTTGTTATTTACTTCGAAAACATTCACCACCCCGAACAACACAATCTTCTGGCTAGCAACGCCATATATTTTGAAAAAAAAAACCGACATTTCGGAGATACATATTGTTACCAGCTTCAGGGTCGAAGAGTAAGCTAAGCAAGAAACTATCAGAAGTAGTAAGGGAAGCTAAGCATGTTTCTCCGAAACGTTATGCTTTCACCGAAGTACGGGGCATTGCAACCCAGAATGTTGTATACTCTTCCTAGTCAGTGCCGTGATAACCTCAAATCCAACTGTTCATCATCTTGTTTACTGTCACAGGATTGTGATATGAAACAAATAATTTTGACAGTTGTTATCTGTAGGGGTAAGGATTGGCTTTCAGAGGAAAAACATGTCAGAAACCAAACGCGTGAAACGAAGAAGGCTGGATGAGGTAAAGCGAATAATTTACGATATTACATAATGAAGAGCTTCGTGGCTTGTATACTCGTAGGTCATCTGATTTTGAGAGAACACTAACAGTACAGTATATATGCATGTGTTTGTGTAAATGACAGTTCTGCATAAACACACACATCTATGAATTTCATTTGTTTCCAAACTGTATTAAGTCCTTCTGATGATAGTCTCTAAGGCCAATACAGCGCTATCGCTGATTTACACACTCTGGTCCTCTCCTGTCACCACAATTAAAACGCAGGAACTATAACCGTCTCACTGAATCACGCACTCCAAGTACTACACATGAATGATGCCTTATAATCGCACCTTTATTCCCCTACTAAATTTCCGTGGCTATCTCCTACCGAGAACACAGAACTCAGAACTCAGAACTGAACCGTAGCACCTTTTTTTAAGATAACTCCTTTGCACGGACTCCACGGAAAACATCGTCTCCCATTGTTATGGATGCATGTTTACCGCTGTCTTGCCTGACAACAGACTTCCCACATCTCTTGGCTTTTGCTCAGCGCCGATCGCATATAAAAGACAGTTTCCTTATTGTTGAGGTTTTTTACTGAGCCGTTGCTTAGCAATGTTCTGACCATCCACTTTACAATAAAGAAAACGCAGCGTGTCACTCATATATAATATTTAATAGTTGGTCAAATTGCAACTCAAAGGAACGGAAGAATAAGAGACGTCTAGGTATTTTGTCGAACTTTCATTCTACACCCGACACCAGTTGTCGCGTATCGGGCGTATAACGCGACAAATAACTTCACGCCGTATTTGGTATAGCGAATTTTATTTCACATTCGCACTTACAATCACCCAAATTACAGATTTACGATTACTGCTATCTGCAGTATCACAAATAGTACACTCCAAATGCCAGAATACTACTGACTAGTTGCTGGCTAACTCGGAACTAACTCGGAGGTAGCTCGAGGACTGACTCGTAGGTAGCTCCAGGACTAACTGACTGACTGTGAATAGCCTTCGCTGCTCCTCATGTAGCCTCGATCGGACAATACCGAAAACGGCCACGTGATAAGCACCCTTGTTGCCTGGCGCTGTGTTGCTAGCAACGCTAGCGGTAGTAACCGCTGTTACTACCGTCGTCTCTCGCAATCCTGTTGCGTCACCGTTACGTTACCGTGCGGAGGAGGGGGAGGGGAGCGCTGACTCACCCGCCGCGTCACTGCTGGTGAGGGGGGGGTTCTCCTTTGCGCAACATGTCACACTAAGTTGCCGAAAAAAATTCCTACAGAGCAACACTGCTTAATTCGAATTTATGTTCAGTTAAATTTAAGGCAACAGCAGAAACGTAGCTGCATTTCTAGAATTTTGGTGTCAAATTCAGGGTGTGATTTAGGTCCGTCATTCCCAGTTTGCAACAAACAACTGTGTCCGTGAGCGCGAGAGTGTTTATATAAACTTCCAGAGATTATTACTTTCTTAATGTTGTTTATGTAATGTTTCGTTCGGGACAGTACTGGAATGTTGCGTAATAGAGCTAATTCAGTAATTGCCTCCCTCTGTGGAACAGGCAGTTAAGAGTAAGTTGTTTTATGTTCCCTCTTCTTCCACTGACTCGCTGTGTAACGTATGTTCCTTGTCAACATATTTTCAGGCAGCCTGTGCTTTTACAGATGTAAAAATGTTTATATGTAGGACACTAAAATGAAAAATGGGGCACTCGATAGCGTAGTTAGTTCATGCACTATGCTAGAAGCCGGAAGGTTATGGGTTTCAAATCCCGAAGAGGTCGTGAGATTTTCAATTGGCCTAATCCTTCCAGCCGCAGTGTGGTCTTGGGGTCAACTCAGTCTCTAACAGAAATGAGTATCAGGAATCTTCCTGGGGGTTAAAGGGCTGCCGGTGTGCAAGGCTGACAAACTCACCACCATCTGTGAACCGACTGTGTAGAAAATGTGGGAGCCTCGACGTGTCACAACCCTGTGGTCTTCCAGGCCCTGTTACAATGTTACTTTATCTTTGACTAAAATAAGAATAAGCATACAGATCATTGTTCACTTTCGTGTTTCGATGTTCAGAAGGAAAGTCCCTTGTAAATATATTTTGAGGCACCTTATAACTGTGAACAGTTCACGTGTTTTGCTGAACTTCCTTGCCCTTTAGCAGACGCGTTTCCTGTGACCGTACGTATATTACTGAAGTTTCATAATCGTTCTACATTTCAATAGGCGAGTATAACACAGGCCTACAAAAAAAATTTTTTTTTGGTGTCTAGGATTTTAGAACTAATTTTAGTTATATTTAAGGCGCTGAATCTAAATATAAAATCAGTTTTTCTCTACCAGCTCTACTTTTTTAGATCAGCGTTTTTGTAACGTGCAGTTCTACACAAAATGTGCAGTTCTAATTGTATTTTGTGCAGTTCTAAATCTCATATGCAAGGATTGGTTCCTGTATATTTGCCCTATTGTCAGTCTGCTGTCCACTGAGTTCCC